AAAAAAAATAAAAACTAACCTTTTTTTTGTTTCTCAACATTAATCTATTTTTTCAATAAAATGAAGGGTAAAAAACAATTTAATAGAATTTCTTTCACAAAATAAAACACATCTAGAATTATAATTTTGGCTATTAGATAATGATCAACATATAAATTTCTCTTTTTTTAATTATTTTTTTCAGGACGACTTCTTTTTTCTTTCTAATTCAAAGATTTAAATGCAAGAAAAATAAAATTTTAAATCAAAATATTAAAATCTTATAAAAAGAAGGATTAAGAATGAAAAATTAAAAAACTTCGGGAACAAAAAATGTTAAAAACACGCAGGAGCTATAGTTGCAAAAACAAAGTGGTTGGGAATTTGTTACAGTGCCAATCTTAATCCTCATAGTTTTTATTATGTTTAATTAAAAATAAATAAAATTGATTTTGCTCAACGCTAGAATCTTTTTTCAACAATGCGAGAAACCCTTAAAAATCTAATCTAAATAAATGATCAATCACAATCCTATGTAAACCAATGATAGGATCACACTTAAAAAATCATAGGTAGCAGGAAAGAATGACAACAAAATAAAATAATGAAAACACCACGTAAATCAACAGTACTGATTCAGCTTTCAGTCCACAGTGAATAGCTGATCTCTTTAGGGTTTTTTTTATTTTTATTTTTTATTAGTTGGTCTGTTATATTCTCGAACCCCATGCGCTTATTTGATCCAAGATAATGAAACAAGTAAATACAACCTGAAGATTCTGTTCCAATCCATATAACCTCAGGCCACACTGTAGCCATGAACTTGGAAGAAATAATGATATCTTCAGGCACCTCTGCTCTTGTTGTTGTTTAAGTTGTGATTTGGTTGTGGAGGCCAAACTGAGGCCATGGCAGAGGATGCGGCAATAATGATGAAAGTGCTGCAGTGCAGGGAGCGCCAGTTTTCTCTGGCTTGACAAATTTGGACCATTTCAGAGACAAATATGCATGAAAATTACATGGCAAATTGTGAATGACAGAGTGTCCATAACAATTCCCCAAACGACTTTTATACATGATAGCTGGAGATAAGACTTCCCCAAGGATATGTAGGGCCTCACATGCAGCAGCAGATACACAGGTGCATGGTGAAAAGGGAAGGCATAAATCAAATACAGAGTGAAAAGGAGAACACACATTCAGTATGATGAAAATTGGAGTCGGGATGTATATGTGTTGCTGTTCAGTAAATCTTTATAAGATGCAACAGGAGCAACAGCCACCTGCGTCTTTCTTACTTTGGAAACTCTCCTGGATCGACTCTAGCTTTGATATTATCTCCTCAAATGTTGGTCGACTTTCAGGATTCTTGTGCCAACACTCTCGAAGAAGCCTAAATCAAGTGAAAGCAAGCAGCCATGAGCATAATCAAGCAAACTAAATTGTAGAGTTTTAGATAAAGCCTTGGCAGTATGGCGTGCGTGTGTCCAGAACCAAAGAGTACTTCAAGAAATAATGAGAGCTAGTTGCAGAATGCCATTCTCAGAACAGAATATTGACTAGCATATATAACCAACCTAAAACTCCTCATAGCCCCACTACTGTTTTCATTAATAGTTATATCTAGTGGCATGCCTTTTCAAATAAATCAAGGCACCGAGAGGGCTGCAGTTGTTATGCTGAATTGCAGTTTATCTTGTGCTGGTAAATAAAACACAATGAAAGAGAAGGAAAGCTAACATCTTAATTGGATCAGGGTAAACAAATGAGGATACAGATGGTCGAGCATCTTCAAATGCCCGCTTGTCTGCAACATGCTCAGGGAGTGCTGTTCTATTTGATGGCCCCCCTTGGAAGATCTGTCAACAAATATAAACCAGCATGAACAAGATCATGATGCAGTCAGAATACGTAAACTATCATGCTCTTTATTGTTCCATGTACAAGTCTTGAATTCGGTTACCTCATGTACTATGAGGGCAAAGGAGAAGACATCAACACTTTTCCCATAGGATTCTCGACGATATACCTCAGGTGCCATGTAACGATCTGTAGTATCCCATAACATTGGCCACAACAAATGACGTGATCTTTACATGGCAGAAGATCTTTAGTTCTAACAGATACATTAATTCAATAAGAAAGAAAGGCTTACATGAACCTGTTCCTCCAGTCATCATGTAACCTTGGTCATCCTTTTCCTGTGCAATTTTGCTTAAGCCGAAGTCTGTAACCTTTAGGTGTCCAGACTCATCTTGTAACACATTCCTAGCAACATTAAGTTGAAAAAAAACCTTTGTGAGTTTTTTCATTTGTCATTTTCTCCTTTCGCATACATGGAGGGAGGAAAAGTGATGCAGTGAGCAATCTTCATTTATATTGTTTATGTTGGCTGACGGTATTCTGTTATATTCTTCTAAATAGCTAATTATAGCTATATTGTGAACTTTCTACCTAGTTGTCTTGGAAGACAACTTCTATTAATGTTTTATTTACATTACGTTTTAAGTTTGACAGTTACTTTTCTTTAGTTTATATTCTATTATTGTGACTGTTGTTGGCAGATTATGATTTCTTTATAGATTGAATGTTATCAAGCTCCAGAAGAGTAAGGTTCAGGTTATGAAAATTCTAAAAGTGACTCCGACGATGTTAATCCTTTCGTCAATTGTCAAGATCAAGAAGGCAAATTGATTGAAATGTTTTTTTTCAATCTTCAAATGATGTAAAGAATGAATTACCAGAATTTAATGTAAGGTCATCTTCTACCTGAAAAATTTCTTGATTAGCTTAGTGCTATTGAGAAAGTCTTTGATTACAAAACAATATAGAATGTTTATTGCAATGATTTATCTTTGCTAGAGTGTGAAGAAAACAACACCGACAATATAAAGAAGGCAAAATGAAATGTGCTTAATAAAAAAACAACTGTTAATGTTTTAAATTGAGTGTCTTTTAATTCCATTAACTATATTTATTAGGAACATAACTATTATAAAATTTTAAAGATATTGGAAGAAACTTTTACTAAAAAGATTACATAAAACAAAGCTTTTGTGATTTGAGATCTTGTGAATTTGATGCTTCAGTGCACATAAATAAATTTTAAGAGTTTTTGAATTATTTATCATTGATGAATCTTGAGATAGTTGATGAGATAAAAACATTAATTCTATTGAGTTTATTATTAGATAGTTGCAAAATATTGGTGGTGCCACGTAATAATTTTACTTTGAATGAAAAATTTACTTTGAAGACAATTGTCATGATCAATTTTTTCTCTATAATTTTCTCATGGCTTTGAGTGTTTAGTTGTAGGGCATTTGTATATATTTCTAAAAATAAAAAATCTAAGCTTGACAACAAGATAAAGTAATGTGTTTTCTTGGGTTTTAAAAAAGATGACTTTGGTTATAAGTTATGTATAAAAAAAAGTTGTGAGAAGTAGATATGTCTTTTTTGAATATGAAACTATTAAAGATTTTGAATAAAAAGATAAAATAGAATATAGTAATTTTATTCCTGTAAATTCAAATTCAATACATATTCCATAGTTATATTTGATGACTTTTAATGAAAGAGATTTGTAAAATGATGATAATAGGAGTTTGCTTTTTGGGCTATTAATTGATGATCCTAAGCCAACTACTGATGATGATGATGATATTATTTTTAAATAGATTATTCAAGAAGCTCTAATTTAGCCATAAGTAAGGAATTCCATTAGAACTCACTATGTTTCTACTATATATTTTCCTCATGAGTATATGTTAGTTACTAATAGGAGAGAGCTAAAATTCTTTGATAAAGTTATGTCTTATAAGACGAAAACTAAGTGATTGATAGCCATGTAAGAAGAAATGAAATTCTTACACGAAAACCACACTTTTAAGTTAGTAAAGCTTTCTAAAAACAAGAGAGCAATCTAAAATAAATGGGTGTTTATATTGAAAATTGATGAAAATTACTCACAGTCAAGATATGAAAGATTAGTTGTAAAATATTTCGGTCAGAAGAAAGCTATTAATTTTGAAAAAATCTTTTTACCCTTGCTTAAGATATTTTCAATCTGAGTTATGCTCGGTGCTCGGTTCTACTGCTATTGTGACATGTCTTAGGAGATCTATATGGATTAATCTTAAGAGTTTAAAGTGAAAGGCATAAAATAATTAGTTTATAAATTAAAGAAGAGTTTATATGAGTTGCAATAAGCTCCAATGTAATTTTACATGTTATAGCCCATAGTTTTAGCTAATAAAAAAAATATTTTGTAATCCTATTATTTATTGATAGTGAAAGTTTTTACGTGTATTACGGTTGGCTTATTCTATATTATATGGTTTTTCATGTAAATATTTTTGGTGTTGATTTGTATTATTAATAGATTCATTCTAATTTTAATTGTACAAAAAGTGTAACTTATGAATTTAGTTAAATTGATGTAATTAACCTAACACAAGCGAGTCAGAAACTCTTGTAATTTGACATGCAAGCCAAGTATCCAACACAAACAGCATGAAACAGAAATATCTAGATAGCAAATATACCTTGGTGTCAAATCCCGGTGTATAATAGCACGTGGTTTGTGTTGATGCAGATAATTCATGCCCCTGCAAGTTTTCATGATCAATGACAGAGGGTTTAGCGTGTGGAGGCCACAGAATAATTAATAGGGTAATACACAACAGGAAATGCTAATGCATCGAATTGCTCGTAATTTCTGTGGAGAATTCAACAACAAGGCAGCTTTAATGGAAAGAAACAGAGTTTTTGTCAGATAGATTCTATAATGGTCTAATCAAGTCAAGAAAGCTAAATTTCAACTTCTTGGCAAAATCTCCTCTATAACAACATCATCTTTGCTGTAACAAAAATACATTTCAGGATGCTTGGAGTTGAATTAACGACATAATTTTTTTTTTTTCAAGTTTGTTCGAAGAAAATGCTTAAGCTATTATTTGCAAACTTGAAGTACAGGAAGCATTCTTTGAACATCTTACCTTGCAATATCTAAAGCATACGAAACTGCTGTTTCCTGATCAAGTCTTCCCTTCCGTTTTAGGATGTCATACAAACTTCCCTAACACGTTCATATCGGAGGAAAAAATCAGTGGAGCAAATTCTAGTCTGGAGTCAACGAAACAAATACCAAAAAGGTCCAGTCATGATTGAATAGTGGATACCCACATCGCGAAGGTACTCCGTCAGGAAGATCAACCGATCGGAGTGCTTTAGAACACCAAGGAACTGCACTATATTAGGGTGGCGCAACTTTTGCCACAGCCCCAGTTCCTTCAGAAAGGTATTCCTGTGAAATTAACGTGCTGAGAAGATGAACTTAAGATAAAATCTGAAAATAGTTGAAGTTGCTAGAATCAGTCTATACTCAATAGCCACCTAGTTGATCTACGTTTGTTAACATCATTACTGTATTTTCGTTGTTTTCTTTTCCTTCTCGTTTTTTCTTGGTGCAGTAGTTTCATAGTTTTATCAACTTGAAAAAGGTCATTTCAGATAGTAAGACCATTCTTTGAACACATTGAAAAACATGAATTCTTATCTTGAATTTACTACCTTCTTCATTGTTCTCTTTTCTTCTCTTGGTTTCTTAGAGAAATAGTTTCACAGTTGTTTTTTCTTGAACGAGGTCATTTTCTGGTAGGCAGATCATTCTCTCAACTAAGAAAAACTTTGATTTAATGTCCTAAATTTAACATGTGTATAATTTGAATATTTATAAGATACAGGACAATGAAACAGAGAGAGAACACGCTACACAACTTCAGGTATGAAACTTACCTCACCCTTGGATCTGATGCAATGGAGGAACGGATCGTCTTTGCTGCTACTTCTGTACCACGCCATTTGACTAAGTAAACTTCACCATATGATCCCTGCAATGGCTTCTTGATTTAAGTCAGTGGGATCATCACGATAACATTATCAAGTGAAGATGATAGTAGTGTTGAAGGTTAAATATCTCAGTGGAGCTCCTACGACCCTAAGGACGTGGGGCAATCAAAAAGGTTTTCATGGCCACTAAGTTTGCCTTTAGAAATTGGGATATCCAGTAATTACTTCTCCAATGAGTATTGCATCATCCATGTCCACTTCAGAGTAATCAATCTCATAGCATGCAGTCTGGGAGTCAAGTCCTACCTGTCCCAGTGAAAATAATAACATAAAAACAGATCATGATAGGGAAATTGAATGGGAAACACTGACTGATCAATATTACTAGACCCATGAAGTTAAATTCCAAAATAGTTTGGTCCTATAACATTCCATATGAAGTTATGAACTAATGGAAAAACACTTATTTATCCATCACTAATATAAACAAGAGCCTTAATCTTTGCAATTCTGACAGCACTACACCATTAAGTCTATAGTTTTAATTGACCACGCAAAACATATGAAAAGATCACCCCTCTCAGATTCTATTGAGTTCAACACCACATACAGTAGGTATATACAATGTGCAAATAAACATTAGGTCAGTGCTGAAAGCTATATACGATATTGCAGTTAATTAAAATAGGTATATGTTCGAGAAAGTGTCCTCCATTTTTGAATTCGTTAGAAATATCCTGAAAATTACACGTAAAGTGATATTTCTCATTTGAGTTATTAACCTGAAAATGTTGGCCAAATACCAATGATCTAAGGAGAAATGCAGATAAAAAAGCATATGATATATATATAGCATTAGGTCTGTCTCCTTCACATAAATTAGTACAGCAAGTATATGCAAAGAAAGTGCGGTACCGGATCTATTCCGCCTCGAGCTTCCAAAATCTTGCAAATACCTTCATGACCAAAGCTACGAGCATCTGACAGAGGCTGAAGATTTTCTAATGTTAACTACACTTAATTTCAGAATAAAAATGACAGAATTCCAAAAATCTGACTACTACTCTACGGATGTGATAATAATAGCAATCTGACAGAAAATTAGGGAAACCCTGTGTGTGAGAGTACAGTTATGCAATACGCAGAATGGCCGATCCCATGATTTTTTGTTACATTCGCTTGAAGATTAAAGTTTATATACAATGTTCTTAGTAAGAAGAATTTTCATTTCTGAATTGCTCTCCTTTTCCTCTTTTTACTACTCTTTTGGGTGCATGCCAGCAACACAGATAATGGTGGTTCGAATGATCTTTCACCTTTGTGAATTTGATGCAAATTCTAAATGATTTTACTCTTTATTGAACTTCATATTTCAAAGAACTACTTAAACTTGATAATAAAGCTAGATGGGTAGAAACCTCTTTATCTGATATACCTAGATAAGGAAATGATCTCTACAGACTATATATACTTTTATAAACCAACGAGATAAGTCTAAGTTAAAAAAAAAAAAGATTTGATCATGTCATAATAAGTTAGCAGTTGAAAATGAAGATATCAGGATGTCTGAACGTTAAATCAGATTTAAATCTACATCATTTTTTGGAATATTAGATCTCTTAAAATTAGTTCAGAAATTGTTGTTTGGGCAATTTTTATTACTTTTCTAGGAATATTTTGGATTTTTATTTTAATTTTCAAGGTGTTTTTAGATTTCTAGTTCCGTAGTAGAGGTAAAATTTTTTAATCTATTTATAAATCTTGTAAACCTCTAAAAAGACAAATTTCATTAATTTTATTTTTAGAGAAATAAATTATAAATTTAGGGTTTATATTTACAATCCTTTTTCTTATTCAAATTATTGTGTTTTTGTTATTCTTATAGATTTTGTTTATATCAATTGATGTTAAAGTATAATAATCCTAGATTTATATTGCTTGTTGTGTACTAACTGTTTGCTTGCTCTAAGTTACTAACAATCATGGTAGAAAGAGATTGTAAAGTAGGGCATGGTCAAGGAGGTGTCGGAATTTATTTTTGGGTTATTTTTTTTAAAAAAAATTAAATAAAAAAAAAAATCGTAAGAGGGCCGACACTATTCTCTTTCTTCTTTTCCAGCTCTCTCTCCCCCTACATAAGCCACACCACCCTGCCACCATAATGAGAAAGAAAAGCAACCCATGCCTGCACTTGGACAGGGTATGGTGACCCTCTCCCCTGGCCTCCTAGAAGTACAAGAAGAAAAGGGTGAAACAAGGACTAGGGGTGGCGGCGGGGCTGGAGAAAGAAAAGGAAAAAAGAACAGAGGGAGGATTTGTTTTAATGAGAACATTTTCACGGGGTGATACTATAGAGAGAAGGAAACAGGGAATGAAAAACAGAGGACAGTTTGAGAGGAAGCAAAAGAATTTTTAGAAAAATAAGGGGGCAAGATTTCAAAGAAAGACAGAGAGAAGAGGGTGAAACAAAAGGGGAAAAGAGGAGATTTTGGGGAGGTGGATAGAAGTTTTGAGAGAGAGACATAATAGAGAACAGAGGAGGAAGAGAACAGAAAAATTAAAAACGAGGACGGGGAGATTGTTTTTGAAACCAGAGAGAAGGAAACATGGGACGAAAAAAGACAGGGGAAAGGAGAAGAGATAATAGAAAAGAACAGTAATCTTACTCTCTTTTTGGTCTCTTTCTCCACCGTTTGAAATAATATCACTGTCAACCTCTCGCCATCTTCTTCCCCAGGCGGGCTGCGCTGCAACAATCGTGAAGAAAAAGAAGAAACCGAAGGCTCAGCACAGAAAGGAAAAACAACAGCGACGAGTGGTTTTTTCACCACCGCCTGGAACCCGATCCCAACTGCAAGCCACCGTCATCCCAACTACCAGAGCACCAACATTCCAGGCAACACTCTTCTCCTTCCTCTTGTCTTCTTGGTTGTTCTCTTGCATGCAGAACGTGTACTATTCACGTTTCTGCAGCAAGAAAAATAATTAACAGATTACTGTTACTGTGCATGAGCACAGTAACAGCTAATTATAATTAACTAGTTGCTATACTCAGGATATTAACCAGTCTCTTGGTTGTTTCGATCTAGACCATCAGCCCAGCATCAGGCCAATCCGACTGGGTTGAGTCCAGCCTTATAGAAAGAAGTTAGTTTTGTTTTGGGCCTAAATCCAATTTATTATTATAATATATAATGTTATGTATTGTATATTTTTTTTAAAATCCCAAAAATCCTTTGAAAAAAATTATGATTTTTGTTGCATATTTTTCTACCATTTTGCTTAATATTAGTTTGTATTTTATATCGTAAAGATACAAATTTAATATTAAAATATCTGGTTTTTTGTTGAAACTTAGCAAGGAAAAATATAACAATTTTTTATTTTTATTTTTATGCATACAACTAAGTCTATCAAAAAATATAAAATTGTTTGTATCATATTTTCACACAACAAAAATTTAAAAATATGTGTTAGCATGCATTTTAATTTTAATAATTAGTTTATTAAAGCCATAAGAACTAGTATAATATTTCAAAAAATACCCAAAAAATATTTTGTTTTCTTTTAATATGTGAGATTATGAATTTATATGTAAAATATATTCCTAATATTAAAAAGGTAATTTCTTTTGTTGACATAGAACGATAAGGCTTTATCTAATAAGATAAGGATTTCTTTATCGATAAGAATATTTTTTAAACTATAGACAGATCAATAATTAGAAAACACAATAACATTTTAGTTTTTATTAGACGAGTAAGTAAACAATGCAATTTACCTTAGGTATGGTGTATTTGGGGTGCCAATACCTTTCTTTTATACAATTAGTCTATGTACTTAATCTTTGAAACCATTTAGAGTTTCTAGTGACCAAAATAATAGATGGTGACTCTTATTCCACTAATAAAAGACAAGAATTCTTTTTCTTTCACGTTATCACGATTACCTAGACTTCAAACTTAAAGAGTGGACGATAACCATAACGATGCACACGTGCGACATAGGGGATAAGGAGGCTCCCTTTCAAAAGAGAAATACTTGGAGCTCATCATAAAGGACATACAAATGTAGTTCATAAAGTTGACCCATAAGATGAAACATAGGGACCTATGAGACCAAAATCATAATTAGAACTAGGAATAGGACCGTGGGTACTTGGCCAGTACTAAAAATCAGTTTACTTACAACCTTTAAGTATGAAGAGACCATATTAAGGGATTTTGGTTTTTGTGTCAAATGTTTTTAGTTTGATGGAACTTTGCAGTCAGATAAATTTATAGACTAGTTGAATGAAGTCGAGAGGATTTTTTTAGTACAAGAAGGTTCCTAAATAGACACGAGTTAAGTTAATTGCAATCAGACTAAAGAGTTAAGTATTTATATGGTGAGAATAGTTGAAAAAAACACGAGAAAGACAAGGAAAATAAAAATTAGTGATTGGGATAAGATGAGAAAAAAATATAAAGCACCTTTTTGCTTTTGACTATTCTTAAATCCTATATTGGGCTTCACATGCTGAAATAAGAAGGTAAGTATGTAAATAATTATACCAATGATTTCTACTAGTTAGTAGATCAAAATAATTTCAAAAAAAATAAAAGAGCAACTAGTGGTGAGGTATTTGAGTGGTCCATGATAATCCATCTATGATGTTTTATATCTCCAATCTATATAGACATTTTATGAAGTGTATCAAAGGTTTTTAGTAGTAGAGAAACAACAAATTGTTAGTGTTATAAGTAAAAATTTCTGGGTAGATCAAAACAATAAAGGAGAGTATAATAATAATATTTAAAATGGTTAACACACAACCTAGGCCAATCCAACAAAGTCAATAAATAACAATTAGGGTTCTGATTTTATAATTCATTGCTTTAGATATGGTGAATTAGGGTACCACACTAGTGATTGTTGCAAAACAAAGAGTTATCTATAAAAGAATTTACTGGTATAGAAGCTTATGGATAAGCTAATCATGTCTAAGCTAATACTTAGATAGAGATAAGGATACTTTATAGGGAAATAAAGATATTACTCTTGTTATCAGAAAGAGTTTGTTGACACTCAATAGAGATTTAGAAGAGGATTGGTGGCACACTATTATTTTTCATTCTATATGCATCATTAAAGACATTTTATAACCTGATAATAGATAGTGACGTCTACGGGAATATAGTGTTTATGAAGGCAATGAATAAACTTTAGCCAGTAACTAAAAATCATCATAAACCTTACAAGTTATATGGTTGAATAAAGATACTGAGGTAATTGTTGACAAATACTACCTTGTTTCCTTTTTCATTAGATAAAAATATTTGATAATGTTTTGTGTGATGTGATGTTTGTAGATATATGCGACATCTTATTAAAGAGGTCATGACATTTTGATAGAACTATGGTACATGATGGTAGAAAAAATACATATATCCTAAGTATTAAAAGGAAATATATAGTGTTGGCACCAATAAAGAAGAAAGTGTTGATGAAAACTTAAAAGATGAAGAGCTTGTTGGTACACAGGTGATAATGTTTGATTATTTTAGAGAGCTATATTTAGGTAATTCAACATTCATGAAAATTTATTTTGAGTTGATAGATGGATGTGAGTGAGAGAAATTTATACTTGACAAATAGAGGTATGTGAGGTAGGCTTTTGTGAGGTAGTGCAGAAGATAAATGATAAAACTTAAGATCTAAAACTATGATGAAAAATCATAAGCTGAAAAACATTGAAGAGCACTGCAAGAAACTAGAGGAGCGAGTGCAGATCCTTCAACAAGAATTTGAGGAATCCTTGGCCAATCAACAAACTAAATGGCAGGAACAATTTGGTGAACAGAACAAGAGGACTGATTAGATTAGTGCACAAATTGAAGCCCTATCAATTCAATTTCAAACATTCTTTGCTAATCAAATGACAGGAAAAGATTTGGGAAGCACTTTCAAAGGAATATTACAGACTCCAGCAATGGGCAGTCTAGAGGGAATGCTATCAAGGGGAAAAGGTCCTGCTAAGGGAGACCAAACCTATAGCCAGGAGCAACAGAGAATGGTGTATAATGTTGTCTTTCCAAGAATGGATCTGATAATATTTTAGGGAGATAATCTTAGGGGTTGGTTGAGGAGGTGCAAGAAGTTTTTTAAGCTCAATACAACTCCTTTTTAGCAATAGGTAGAACTAGCATCTCTTTATCTAGAGGGAAAGACAGAGATCTGGTTTGAAGGCTACATATGTGGAGTGGAAGGTGTTGTTGATTGGGAAGAATTCTCAGGAGCCATATACAGTCGGTTTGGTAATAGAACTGACATTGTAGAGGAATTTAACAAGCTAATACAAAAAGGTGATGTGGATGAATATGTGGAAAGGTTTGAGGAGTTAAAGTCACTAATGCATTCATTAAATTCATTGCTTCCTGAATCCTACTATATCTCCAGCTTTATCAGTGGATTAAAGGAAGATATCAAACCTATGTTAAAGATATTAAAGCCAGTAACATTGATGATAGCTTTTGATCAAGCTAAATGGCAAGAGGAGTCTAACAAGGTGTTGGCAAGAAAAAACAAGTTCATGCCCAGGCCAGTAGCTGTGGTGCAAATGGGGACACTGATAGGTAATCGTCAAACCAATTATGTAAATGATAACTAGCAAAAACAAAAAGTTTCAGAGACCATGCATGAACAAAGGCAAAGACTGGGGTAGTGTTTCAAGTGTGGGGACAAGTTCATGTCGGGGCATACATGCAATGTTAAGGAATTACACATGATCGAAGGCAACGAGGAAGAAGGTAGAGTCAAGGTTTACCCAGTAGCCATACTAGAGAGGAAGCTTATTAAAAAAGACAATAGAGTTGTAGTGTTGGTTTAATTCAATGGTCCAACTCATTTCCTAAAGACACAACGTGTGAAGAACTGACAGAAATTCAATTGTAATTTTCATAATTCAATATTAGCCCTTAATTGTTTAGATCTGCAGATTCTTGGGTCAAGAATCTTTTTAAGAAAGGGGTATTGTTATGATTCAGGATGGCAGAATAATGGTGGGAAATAGCAATAAGAAGAAGGTTGTTGCGGGAAAGCAAACGTCAAGGACACGCAACCTGCTATTAATTGTAGAATTCTGTTAGTTAATTAGAGTTAGTTGGATTAATCTGTTAGTAGTTAATATTGATCACTATAAAAGCACAGTGTATGGATCACATTGGATATGAATAGATTGTAGTCCAATTTTGATCTCATTTCTCTTCTCTGTTAATATCATTTCTCTTTTCTCTTATTCTTTTCTGCTAATATTATTTCTCTCTTCTGTGACTCTTCTCTACTAATATCATTATGCTTCTTAGCCTCATCTTCTTCTTGATTTGTTAATCATCCTAGCATCAAACTCGAGGATGAGTTTTCCCTAACCTGGAGAGAATGGAGCAGTTAGGCTTATAAAAACTAAAAGTTTTGAGCATTAAGGTGAGGATCTAACATAAATAAATGAGGATCTAACCTAGAAAGACCATGTTTTGATGGGCCAATCGGACATGTTTAGATCTAAAATGAGGTCTGACAATACCAAATTAAGCTAATATCTTAAAACAACGATATTAAGAGATTTGACCACTAGACTAAAATGAAATCTACATCACTTATCAAACTATTAGATCTCCTAAAAATTAGGCTAAAATTGTTGTTTAGACTTTTTTGGATTTAATGATTAATCTTGATTTTTTTTTAAATTTTCCTTAGTGTTTTTGGATTTCTAGTTGTTTTTTAATAAAGGTGAGATTTTCTAATCTATTTACAAGTCTTGTAAACCTCCAAAGAAACAACCTTTATTAGTTTTATTTTCAAAAAATTAAATTACGAATTTATCACATCTGTAATTCTTTTTACTCATTCAAATTTGTTCTGTTTTTGTGTTGTTATTATCCTGATAGCTTCCGCTGCATCAATTGAAACGTGCCAAGCAAGCGTGATTATCAACCATATAACAAAATAGAGACATAGTTTTAGTTTCTTAATATATCTGCCGCTAGCTCTGACTGCCTTGAGCAATGAGACCTTACCATTTAGCACACACCTTCCACACCTAAACACATTAGCTGCCAGTGTGTCTTCTTCGGCAAGCAAATATATAGATATCAAGTTTAGAGATGAGAAAAACTTACAGTGCGACCCCAGCGATCAATAGAATTCACATCTGCTCCTTTCTCAAGAAGTAGTATCACAACCTCTGTACACCCTTCACAAGATGCCAAATGAAGAGCTGTTCTCTTATCATAATCGGCCAGATTGGGTTCCACACCTTTTTCTAACTCCTGCAGCACTCCAGCTTTGTCGCCCTTGCTTGAACAAGAAAGCAGCCGATATGGACCTTCTGAGTCGATTGCTTGTGATTGAGCCCTCTGATATACAAAACCACAGTGAAATTGTCTTCATTTGTAATGAAAAGCTTAGCAGAAAGAAAGCTCATTGATCATCAGCTGCTTTGTTTCATCGTACCCAAAATCTCAATAAAGTGCACAAAGATCATATAAAGCAACAAAAAAGATAGTTCATTGATCATCACTTGGATGTATGATGATTTTCCACCGTCAAAACTTGAACAAAATAAAAAATGATTCCCTAAATATTCTTCCTTCAAGTGCCTTACATAACTGCATGCATGTAAATGTCATAGAACTTGAAAATACACAGAAAATCCTTCATAAAACCCCATTTCCGTGAAGGTACGTAAGGATGGATAAAGCTAGATTCAGCAGTTGCAAAGATCAATGCCATAACACAAACCCTTTTCTCTCCTCGATGCAGAACTAATTCTTGTTAATAATAAATAAAAAGTTCGATTCTTATTAATATAGACCATGCAAACAAACTAAACCTAGTCCAAAAACTAGTAAATGCTTATCCTCGAAATGATTCGAAACTTATCTGAAATACATACTCAAAACACTTATAAGTCACAAATATGACAGAATTCAGTCCATTTAATGAAGAAAATTATAACTTGACTCACAAAATGAGATGATTATATATAGAATAAATAAATAAATTAAATACTAGTTACAAGCCCTTGGCATAATTTAAAAAGGAAAAATCTGTACCTGACTCCAGATAACAAGCTCTCTTCATTTCAAGAATCGATTTAATTATCAAACAGACCTCAAAATACGCATAAATTAACATTAAAAGACAAAAAGAGGTGAAGTGAGTACCTTTGAGGGGAGGGAAGAACCATTGCAACCTTCCATGATTCAAAAACAATCGGAGAAAGCAATCTCTTTGACCAGAAAAATAAATAAATAAATAAACACACGAAGTAAAAAAAAAAAAAGAAAATCAATTTGAACACAAAAGGAAATTGAAACCAAACGAAAGTACTAATACATGGAGTACATTTTCGATTATTACATGTACTAGTGCTAATTATACATGCATAAGTCCAGCTAAGCTTACAATAGACGTGAAGACATTTAATACATTTTCGATTACATTAACGACACTAACAACAACAATCCAAAATCTATTTTTTATTGAATTCGATATAGCCGAGGGTTACTATCGTGTCCTGTCTCGTCTAAATAATGATTCACTTGGATTTCTACGTCTCCAGGTATTGGATTGGAAGGAGGTATAAAAATACTGTTTGGTTGAAGAGAAAACTGAGAATTATAACTTCATTAAATTTTCTCAACAACCAAACAATTTTTTCCCCTCCGTTTGTTTTATCTGGAAAGCGATGAGGGTTTTGGGAGTTTCGGTTGGAAGTTTGTTTTTGGCGGGTTTTCTTCTGTTTTAATTTAACGGTAGCGTTTCGTTTTGTTTCAAGTCTTGGCTTTTTATTACCATTACATTAGAAAAAGCGAATTGGGAGAGAAAAACACGGTTTACTGTAGAGAATTCACTGTTTATTGAAACAGTTGAATGACCAATTTAATCTTTCCCAAACAAATAGATGAATTTGCTATTAATGGTACTATAATTTTTTTATAATATTAATTAGTAATTATTAGATTAATAAAGAATAAATAAGATTTTTTGTATTTTCAAAATACAATGAAATAATTAAATTACCTTTAAAAATAAAACTTATTTAACTCACATTAATAAATTTTTTTATATTTTCATCCTATCTTTTAGTTGCTATCAAGTTAATTGAAAAAAAAAATTAATATTTTAATATATGCAAAATATAATTAAAAGAATCAAAGTTCGCAATTGTGTGCACGTGTTAATGGGTGGAAAGCATCTATAATCTTTTAACAATGTATGTTGCGTATCTTGATATTTAAATGATAACTTTCATAATGACATTAGAAGCATCGAGATGTCTCCTTGCATATAGAAGCATCGAGATGTCTCATTGCATATGGGGTGATAGTGTGTTGTCAGTGATTTTTTTTTTAGTATTTTTTTTATTTTTTCTTTCCTCCCCTTAGGATTGGCTCTAGCCATTTAAAATACCAGAGTTGATATTTTATTTACTGATATTGCAACTTTGATCCTTGCTTTTTTAATTTTTAATTTTTGTTTTTTGCTTTTTTTATATCAAATCTTGATTCATTTTCAATTATATCCTTGAGCCCATAATTGTAATTTGTTATTTTTTAAATTATGGTCCTGATCATTTCTTTTGATTTTGATTTTTTATTTTGGATCTTTTTATGAATTTGTTTTTTTCTTTTTCATTTTCTTCTTCAATTAAAAACTTTAGGTTGTCCTCTTATTTATTTTTTTATTTCAAATTTGATATTCATTCTCTTAATTCTTTTTTTAGATTATTTTGTATAATGTTTTTTTATTTCATCATTTGAAAATTAATTTATTGAAAATCAAGTTTTACGATTTTTCTAAGTTAAGTGATTTTAGTTTAACGACTCGAATCATGGGTATAAAAAGTTAACACTCTTTCCATTATGATTTTACTATATAAAGATATGATTATACTACATAGAGATCAAGGTTGTAAGAAATAAATATACATAACTCAAAAGCTCAACTAAGTGAAAATCACACGCATTAGTATATACAACCTCCTCCTTTTTCTTCTATATTATTTTCTTATCTTTTCTCAAAATGAAAATCACATGCGTTAGCATATACAATCTTCTTTTTTTTCTTCTCTATTATTCTCTTATCTTTTCTCAAAAATTAAATTGGTCTTAATTTTTTTTTTATTTGCTAATGTTAAGAACTTTTAATTAAGTTAATCTAAATTTTTATGTTATTTGATTATGTATTCTTTAACTTTGACCATTTTAAATTGATGTTTTAAGGGGAAATCACACTATTAATGCATTAACTTTTCACTTTTTATGCATATGCAGAAGACTGAACTTGGGATCAAGAAGTGCTTTTGGTGAAGGTGTTGCAAGTTGATCACGTGATGAGATGAACTTAACATGAGCATTATAAGCTACTAGATCACAGACAAAGTGAAAATCTATTTCAATGTGTTTGTTCATGCATGAGACATTGGGTTGCTGGTGAGGTAGGTTGTGCTGATGTTGCCGCACCATAAGGTAGGTGATAATGAGATGGGTAAACCAAGTTCTTGTAATAGAGATTGTATCCATAGAAGCTTTGCAGTGGTGTTGGCAACAATACAATATTCAACTTCAGTGTTGTTGCAAGAGATAGTTGGTTGCTTGCGGAAGCTCCAAGAAATGAGATTTGATCCAACAAAGGTGCCATAACCACCGGTAGACTGTCTGTCATTATTAGAGTAAACCCAGTCTGCATCAGAAAGTGCTTTTATTTGAGAGATGTTGCATGTAAGAAGTACACCATGATGAACTATGTTTTTAAAATAGCGTAAGATTCGTTTGACAACACTCAGATGGTCGGTGGTGGGAGAATGCATGAATTGATAAACTTAGCTAACAACATAGAAAATATCAGGACAAGTGAATGATAGATATTGAAGTGAGCCAGCAGTACTGCAAAACAGTATAGGATCTGGGAATGGAGCACTTGTAATTGTGATAACTTTGTGGTGGAGACCATTGGTGAGGAAACTAGTTTGACATCATACATATTGGTCTTGTGAAGAAGATCATTGATGTAGAGTTGTTGGCTTAGATTTAGGCAATAAGAACCAGGAGATGCTTCAACGTCCAAGAAGAAACTTAATTAACTAGCTAAGATCTTTAAATACAAATTCATAGTGAAGTTGAGTAATAAAAGTGCATATATCTTAGAGCTGACAAAACCAAATGAGTGAAGCTTGGAACCGAGATGAGAAAACCATGCTCGCAAAGATTGTTTGAGGCCATATAAGGCTCTCTGTAAATGACAATATGTTCAAGAAAGTATATATGAGAGAATCCAGGTTGTTGAGTCATGTAAGCATCTTTATTGAGATCACCATGCAGGAACACATTTTTAACAAGTTAATGTATAGGCCATTGAGATTGAACTGCAATGGATTGAATAATTCGAGTCGTAATTGGTTTAATTAATCACTGCAGTACTGAAACTGTCACTATAATCAATTCCTTGTTATTGATGAAAACCTTTAGCAACAAAGCGTGCCTTGTAACATTCCATGGTGCCATCAACATGTTGTTTACTATAAAAGATCTCTTTGAAGGCAATAATATTCATGTGTGTTTGTCGGGGAACTAAAATCCAAGTGTCATTCTTCATAAGAATTCATCATTCATGGAACTATGCCATTCTGGAAACTTCAAAGCAGTAGTGAAACTGGTTGGCTCAGTGAGGGAAGGTGCAGTAACAGTAAAGAGAGCATGCTTGCCCGAAGCAATAAAATCAGGGGAAGTTGCCTGGGTTTGAAGATGTTGTTGTGGGACCTAGTTGTCATATGATGATTCTATATGAGGACAGCGAAGACAAGACTTTTTGAGACTGTTGTAGAAGGAAGTAAGGCTGAACAAGGGTGTTGTGATTTATTGAAGATCTTTGTAGGGGGTTGTTGCGAGGTAGAAAGGTTGTTGCTGGAAGGTAATGTATCGGTCGAGCTGTCCTGTTCGGGTCGAAATTAAATTAAAATGTTAAAACTCTATTTCGCTTGCAATTTTTTTACAATGAGAATTCTTGGTTTAAGGATGTATTTAAAAAATATTTTTTTAGGTCAACGTTGATGATTTTATTATAAAATAAAATATTTTTTTATCATATAAAATCTTAAAAATAAAAAAAATAGCGTTTTTTTTTGTGCATGAGAGCTTTTAAAATTTTCATGTGTATTTTAATTTTTATAAAAAAAATTATATTTTTATCTGAAAAAAATACAAGAATTAGTTAAAGATTATTATAACTGATTTATAATTATCTATTAGAACCAAGTTTATATTTCAAAAAAAATTTAAAAAAATACCAAGTTTATATTTCAAAAAAAATTTAAAATTTTTTTTTGTTTCTTTTAATATATTTTTAATATATAGGATTATTAAGACATATTTTTATATTAAATAAAAAATAGTTCATTTTATTTTTTAAAATTTTACAGTAAAGTGATTAAATTTTAATCTAATAAAATATTAATTTCTTTATTAAATTTTTTTCTTAAACCCTACATAAATTACTGATTAGAAAACAAAAATTTAATTTTTATTATTGATAAAAGGTCAGAATAAAATAATAATCATGTAATTAGAATATTTTTTATTTGAATGCAACAACAAATTTTTAATAGGATGTAAATTTTAATTACAAAATAAAAAAATGATGTAATTGTTTGAATAATTAATTAATAGTGGTAGCTGGAAACACCAAGGTCATCTGATTATAATTTTGTTTAATATATGTTAAATTATTTTAATATATTAATATTAAAAATAAATTTTAAAAATAATCTATACAACTAACGGTCGTACATATGTAGATCGGGCTGGGTGGTGCGGTCACTGTCAGTGTAGACATCCGCTTCTCTACTCCGGTATTATATTATACGCTCAAAATGAAAAAACCAACCCCACCCCTCCAAAACGAAAAAATTACAAGAAGAAAAGGAAGCTCGAAAAACTGTTTCAAATTTCAAAGACCCAAAAAATACCCTCCAAAACCCTCCTCCGCTCTTCTTCTATACTCTACATTTACAGATCCAAACAAGCATGTCGTCTAACAATCCGAACCAAACCATTCGGAGCCCAGAAAAACCCGAATCCAAATTCGAAGACGAGTCGGAGGAGGAGGAGGCGGAGGAATTGGAGCAGTTGGAGACACAAGTGAAGCAAATGGCAAAGAAGATTCTCGAGTACAGAGCCACTTTACCTGATCAACTCAAAACTACTCTCGCTTTGCTTCTTTCTTCGCAACGACCCCTTTTACCTGATTGTGATTCCGGC